GGGGGTGGGGGGTGTCAACGCAAAGGAAATTTGCGCCTGTTAATTTTGTTGGTAACGATTCTATTTTGACGCATTAGATAGGTACAGAGTAACTATTATAATTAATCATTCTGGGTGTGCATTTGACCTCTTGACTCTCACGAAGTATCGAGACCGGTTTTGATTTTAGTTTTCTTTTTTTCTATCATTTTTACTGATATCATTACATTTTAGAGATTTTATAAAATCATTTAAAACAGTTTGATAATGTTAGTTTCTGTTCCCCTTCTCACCACGGAGAGGTGAAAGTCGAATCTTGAACAGAATTAATTTTAGGGAAGAAAACTGCTGTTAAAAATAATACGATTAAACTGGCAACATCGTGAAGACCATATTATTTTGAAGGCTGGTCGACAGCCTTGTGCTTTGTGGAGCTTCTACTTGGTCATCTCGACGTTGTGTAGGTTGTCTGTTGTTGTGGGTGTATGTTGTTTAATACAAAATGTACTGCGATCAGTGTCGATGCTATTTTAGTACATAAGTCCCTTGACCACAAGTAAACTATATTAATCTCACTCACCATCCTATGTGCATGTGTGTGTTTGTGTGTTTGTGTGTTTGTATGTGTGTGTGTGTGTGTGTGTGTGTGTGTGTGTGTGTGTGTGTGTAATGAAATACGTTCACGCTTATGAAAGCAGGAAAGAATAGGTGGTCTTTGGAGTCTCTGAACTAAAGCATTCGATACCATCATTATGAATTCCACCAATAGAATCCTGTGCGAATTTCCGAACTCAAAGTGTCGTTGAATCAGGTCAGACACAGGTCGCTACCTCTGAATTACTAAGTTCTAACCGACATTTTTGGCTGTTTTGAGTTACTAAGGCCATGAGGTGAGAATGTAAATTCTCTATCTGCTCTATCAAATTCGTAAGAATAAAATTCAGAGTCGTTGTCAAGATACTCAATGAATTGCATTCGATAAAACCGGACACATTATTGTAAAACTCAAACATTTTTTACTCTAAATGTCTCAAAATTAGGAACTGAACAGATAGAACTTTGTCATTCTGAGGTAGCGAGGTGTCAAAATCATTACCCGCTGGCTGCACCAGGCCCGGCGAACAGTTACATCCAATCCGCGTGAGAATTTTAGGTAGTCAATCCTGAGAATCTCCATAAAACAGAATGTTGAATTCGGAGATCCCACCTCTTAGGTAAACTAATAAAATTGAAAGCAACGGGGCTGTTAGCGCATACATACATTTACTTTTACTTTCACCCGAGGGAGAATCTTACAGAAGTGCCATCAGTTGTTCGATATAGCAAATTAGACCCAGTAGCTGTTGTGTCAAATCACACTACCGGACTGAACAACAGATGCGAGAAATTTGACATGAAAATAAACACATCAAAACAGAAGTTATGGAAGTGAGCCGCAAGCATAGTCCTCTGAACATTCATGTCAATGGTTAACAACTAAAACAAGTGAAGGAGTTTAAATATCTTGGCAGCACCTTTTTCTGAAAACAAGCTGATAAACGGACAGAGATATAGAAATGCGAACGCAAAAAGCCAACGCTGTCACCTACCAGCTCGTACCCCTTTCAGTTCATCCAATCATCTCCATGGACTCAGAGAGACAGTTTATCACTTCAATATTAATACAAATATTATGCTACCAGTGCCAGACCTTTACATCAAGTAAAACCCATGAAAACAAAATCACTGTATGCGATGATAAAAATGTCTCCGCAAAACCCTTAACATCATAAGACGAGACAGGCAGAGAAATGAAGAAGTAAGAACAGCTACTGGCACCGCGTCCTGCCCGCATTTCATTAAAAGCAGAGAATAAAATGGTTTGGCCACCTGTTACGAATGTCATCTAGCCAGCCAGCCTCGAGAACATCAAGCACTCCGGCTATAAAGGAAGAGAAATGATACGCAAAATGTATATTGAAGGAGTGAAGGAAACCCTGCAAATTATATTATCCCATTTGAAAGGGCTGTAGAGCTGGCCTACTACAGAAAGCTGCATCTCCCCTCGATGATTAACGGCAACAGAGGGTGAACAAGTAAATTAATTTGTCGCGTCGTTGGTCTTCAGACGTGATCAAAATAAGGAAATGTGGACTTTGGTTTGGTCAGGAGCATTTTTCTGTTTTTTGCAATACAATTTTACCCCCAGCGGCAGATGTTTTCCTCGGAGCACCATGCAGGTGTCCAGTGTCGCAATATTGCAGACGCGTCTGGTTAACTGCTTGAATCCTAGTAGTAATTTGGAGTCGTTTACTAATTTCTTCTTCCCTCCCTCTCTCTGTCTCTGTCTCTGTCTCTCTCTCTCTCTCTCTCTCTCTCTCTCTCTCTCTCTCTCTCTGTGTGTGTGTGTGTGTCTGTCTTTCCCTCTCTATTTCTTTCCCTGGCTCTCTTCACAGGCTGTAGGGAAAATGCGTCTATACAATAAAATAAAGTACGTGGGAAAATGCTACTGGTTTTCGCTGTTTTTCAATTGGCATCTTGGGCTGTGAACTGTGTCTAAAATAAGAAGACGTCTTTCTGTTTTTACTGTCCTGTGTTCGTGGTCTGTTAGGTGTTGAATGGCTCGAAATAAGTTGTGGAATGAGTGGGGGAAAATCTTAGAACTACCAATTAAAAGTTATAGTTTAAACTTTCAATCTTTCCAGTTCCAGACAAAACAATCAGCAGTATTATTATAGTAACCACTGGTTTTTTGTTTATATTTATAGATGTATTTTGACTTCTCTGAAAGGAGAAACATAGCATTATTATAATAACCACAGCTTTCTTGTTTATGTTTGTACATAGGTGTATTTTGACCTAACTGAAAGGAGAAACTAACCTACTCTTTTCTTTTTTTCAGACTCACAGATGTTACTTACAAAATGATGAGACGAACTGTTTTTTCGGGGAATATGGTTTAACCACGTGTGACCTGATCGATCATACTCCGTGTCACTGGTTTCTCATCTTGGCCATATTACGGAACCTGGTTCTCCTATCTCAACTCAACAGATTTTGCTGAAATTTTCTATATGGAGTTAAAGAAAGGAGACCATCCCACTTACAAGAATGGCGGACCTGAGCTATGTCCAGTGGGGAGATAGTGGTCAGATCAGGAGTATATTGAGCGTAAATCCAGCGGTCCTGTCCTAAGTCGTCAGCTTTGAGGACCTCATCTCGTTTCACATTCTTGCCTTCTTCTCGCCCGGCGAGGACTGATAAGAACAAGATCTCTGCTTAATAAGTGAAATGTTTAGTGCAGTTGGGAATACGTTCTCTTCAAAAACGAAATTCTGAAGCCGAATGTGTTGTTCTTTCTTGCGGATTATCCATTGATTTTAAATTAACATACACGGTAATTTGTTGTTCAACAGGGACACTGTATTATCTTCAACTTTAAAGACGCTGACTGACAAGTGTACTTATTAAACCTCAGGGCATCGCTGGACGATGTGATAATAATGAGGTTTAAATTATTCCTGTCCCGTCTATATCTCGACGCATTCACTTTTACTAGGTTTGCTCTATAATAACCTGTGCCAGCTTCTAGCGGATCACAAGGTGCATTCAGTTTTTTCCCAACATCTGGATTATTGAAAACTTTCAAATATACGCAGGTTGTCTTTCTGAGGAACTGGCAGTTCGATCTAAGATCTTACGCAGGAAAAACTGCAAGTAAAAATATCTCCAGAGATATCTTTATCTGGTGTCGACTTAAACCTACAGCTTGGAAAGCATTAACACCCACTAGAGATCCCTGAGCAGGTTCAGCCAGAGCAGATTACTCTGCAGAGAAAAATAAGGGAAACGGCAAATCGCTCGCCTCTTTCATCAAATTCAGGATGAGTGGAAGAAGAACTCACCTACGGAACGGAGCCACGACTCCGGAGTTCAATCTGGCTCTGGTCGGGGCCTTGAGTGTGGGCAAATCAGGTAGGCCATTACTTAGGTAACGTTTAAATGTTTGAGAGAAAGACAGACAGAGAGAGAGAGAAAAAAAAAGAGAGAGAGAGGGGGGGTAAGAGAGAGAGAGAGAGAGAGAGAGAGAGAGAGAGAGAAAGAGAGAGTGAAAGAGAGAGAGGGGGGTAAGAGAGAGAGAAGAGGTG